AGATTGGGCATTGACTATTTGGTCCAGTGATTTGTGTTCGAGCGAACATTTTCAGGGTCTAAACATTTTGATTCGCAGATTTCTAGAAAAAAATTCGGGCACTGTGTCAAATTGGTTGCCCAACTTATATAAACCATCCCCAGTACATTCAAGTATAACCAAACATTTGTGAAGTCTCCTTTACCTCTATCAACGTCAGGAATTTTGGCACATACAGTATCACCTACATTGCAAGGGGGAAACTCTTCATTTGACGAAGCTATCATTTTATTAGCCTGTAATACTAAGGAAACTGCCTCATCTTTCTAACTACTATATACATATACTTTTCAGCTCCCGTCTGGTCACAAAGCTGACAAACTGCGTTTTTGCAATTTCATTTTATTCTCAATCTTTTCGATTGCTTCGAGAGGCAGAACTGATGACCTTACGCCAACTTCAACATCACAACCAAACATTGCTTGGAACCGCGATCTTTTAATTCCATGATGATATGCTCTATTTTTCATTAGTTGAACGAATCTTAGTCCTTTTTGACAAATCTCATCGGTCATCCACACCATGAGCATTTTATCGACATTTTGATTGGCACGTTCTACGCTTCCTCGAGACAGCTATGGCGCGGCTTCCAATGCACAATCTTTAGACGTGGCCACATTTCTGTCAAATTTCCCACAACTCGATTAACGGACTCCTAACCATCATCAGATTGCAATATAGATGGTAATCCGAATATGCAAAATATATCTAGCAGTCAGTACCTTTGATACATCCTCAGCAGTCTTACTTTGTAAAGGCCGTAGTTGTACGGGCTTCGTCAGGTGATCCTCGTAAACTAATATGAATTTAAAATCGCCGTCTGGGTTTGTTTGCATGTCTATCAAATCTACCTGACAACGTCTATTATCTCATTAGATAAAAGGGTTTTACTACAAGACCTTTTTTCATTGAATTTTGTTTCATTTGACATGACTTACAAAAACGAAGATAAATAAGAACAGCCTCCTGAGTGATGTTTGCCTACTTGTTCTAAAATCATCCTATTTCTTCCGCCGTATTCAATACTGACGTGTATTTCATGAAGAATATCGAACAGTCTTCATTCTTGACATAGTATTTGAGGTCCCCGGTATTTTCGCCATTGGATAAAGGAGCAATTAACGCTTCGTCACTTTTCTTGCAGCTTTGATTCTTCAAACACTGCCATTTTAAATCACAATGCGAGCGCAAACTCGATACTTCAAATATACGTACGCGTACATACACCTATCTAACATGATGTTACGATTGATACTAAGCAGAGCGCCCGCTGCCCACAGCGAATGAACGTGGGTTGACGAATTTATTGCTGAAATAAATAATATCAAAATGATGACATTATATTTTCTTCAAAAATACCCGTCTAAACCTGCTTGCACCTAGTTTTAACCACTAAGGATTGGCTAGACTTAGGTGTAGCCGGGATTAAGTTGGTTGGACCTAATTTTAATCGAATGCAACCGGCTAATACTAGGTTTGGCTATGAATGTATAGTACTAACCAACTGCCAGTGGCTATACCTAGTTCCAACCGGCTAAACTTAGTTGTCACCGCATTACGGGCTTTAGCCGTCTGCAAAGTTGGGGTTTTCCTTTTCAGAAACAACTACCCTAGAAATAACAAAGGTAATGTGTAGTGAAACGAGGGCGATCAAGGAAAAAAAATAAAGGAAAAAGTATTCACTCTCCAGTTGACGAGAAGGGCTAAGTACGTCTCTGCCCGAAATCATACCGCTCCAACAGAAAATGAAATCAGCTGATGCGCTACCGAGCAGACGCACCATGCCAGCCAAAAAATATTCACCGAAAATGTTTGTTGAAAATGTGCCCGACGGACAGCGTGCGGATTTTCTACTGACCAAACATGAGTGTTGCGAAAGTTATTCACCCCATTACGCGTGAATGTAGATTCGTCTGTCACCAATATACACTTCAAAAAGTCCGGATTATTGTCATGTTGATGCAACAACCACTCACAAAACCGCACTCTTGCTGGAAAATCGTCAGGTTGAAGAGCTTGTACACGTTGGACGTGAAACGGATACAGCCCCTCTTCACGCAGCGTTTGCCACACTTTAGTTTTTGATACTTGCACTTCTCTAGCCACGTCTCTAGGTGCTTGTTGAGGGATTCTCGTCTACGCGATTACCTCTACAGGCGTGACCGTAACCGTCGGTTGAGGGTTGCATACTGACCTGACACTAGTGGTGTTGAAAGAGTAATCATACGAAACTCGAGTACTCGTTACTCATAGATACCCGAAGTAACGAGTACCAGTCCAAGCACGAAATGATTACTTTGATTATTCTGTTTTCCGTATCCCTACCCGATACGTGTACAATCGTTGATCGTCGAGTGGTAACGCTGGTTAGACTGTAGCACTACCGCTCATGCACCAAGGTTGCAGACATCCCACATTCAGATGGAAACCTGGAAACTAATTTTTTTTATTGGCGGACATAGAATTTGGTAATTGTTTTTAAATATGAAGTTTACCTATTACACCGTGACACAAATTCGCTTTTATTGTTGTGATCTTGGGAATCTGAAAAGGAATAAGTAGTCGATTGGATCGGGTCAAAGTTCGGCAGTATTATGAGGCAGAAAAGCGACAACAAGGTAACACCACCGTTCAGAAAAACCACAATAATAAAAGTTATGTCAATTTGACTCGTGTTTCCATGCACTGTTTGGCTAAAAAAATTATAATTCAGTATGACCACCAATAGTATGTGTAGACCAAGCTCAACGTAGAATTTTTTATACTGGTATATTATGCTTAATTGAAATGCTTCGAAAAGTCACATGCCATTTCGAATTTCCTTAAGCCCATATACAGATCGATACGCATACAGTTTGAAGATACAATGTTTGCATTAAACACGGTAGTCTTGAATAAACTATGCTTATAACATTTTGCAAATTTTAAGGTCATCTATTTTCTTATAAGATTCGGTTCCATTCAACTTGTTTAAATTCGACATTAATCACACGACGCACATTGCCAAATCGTTATACTCATACTACTCATAGTAATCAAAGTAACGAATACAATAAACGATTACTTTGTAGAAGAGTAACGATTAGTAACGAGTACTCGAAAGTAACGATAACCAACACCACTACCTGACACACTGACCCCGACCCAGTTCTGTCGTCGGGTTGAGCCAGTGTCATTGTACCACTCCGTGATGTCGCGGCTACAGGACGGTATTCAGATATTTTTGATGTTGCAGAGCCCTTTATCTCGGTTCCCTTAAGACATTGGTGTATATGGTACTAAGAAAAATTGCTTATGTTTTCAAGATCTACACGTCGTGTAAAGGAAAACCCCAACTTTGCGGACACCCTGTATAAACCATATCTATAATACTTGAGTCGTCTATCCACCTACCCATCTGCCCAGCTCATCTGTGGCAGTTGAGTCATCTATCTATGCATCGGCCTTATCGGTCACAGTTGTCCTATCCCTACAAGTTTTAACAATAATGTAACTTATTCTGGAACCGCGAGGTAAAGTTTCAATTTCGAATATAGGAAAACAATCATTACTAATCTTTCGTAATGAGTTGAATTAGTCCAGTTCCGTTTTAGAGATATAATAACGTGAATTTCCAAATAAAGTGATTCGGATAGTGAATTCAAAAGCAGGAACTTTGAACTTTTTTTACCAGATTCCTTAAAAATCAATAATTCTCTAATTTTATTATTATTGATTGGTCAATATTTGTTTCGAGCTATTTTGATTAATATTAATAAGCAGACAATCAAATATAATAAATACTGTTAGTACATTTTATCAACTGTTGATTATACACCAAGAAATTGCATGTGATGCTTGCCTTGCAAACAAATAGATCTTAAAATCATTTAAAAAAAACTCTTACTTCCATTACTCTTTAATGAATCTCATGGTTCATTGTGTAAGCTACTAGTAAATTCGTAAATGTAAACTCAAGCACTGGACTTGAAGGTAGTGGAGGACACACGCGGACAAGCGGAGGAAACGAAAACGAAACATGACAAAACAGGAAGACGGCCGTCCATCATGGTGACAGCGGGACACACGCACTGTTGCCAACTATTAATTAATAAATTCACCGGATGTATGCTTGAAACCCGTTAAATAGAACAAATCCTTCCCACAATTAAAAAAAGGTAAAGGGTGTTGTTGATAAGCATATATCATTGGGTATTCGGCGAGTAGACTATTTATGTAAAACCGATGTTTTTGCACTGAAGAGACCCAGGCTCTTCGTTAAAAAAAATGCTATCGGAAATTGCCGTTTTACCGCCAAACATAAGAAATTGATGTCCGCTAGATTTAGCGGAAAATCCGCTAAGCTGCCAAGATCGGACTTCTTTCACAGCAGGTTAAAATTCTGATGGCGCCAAATTTAAAATCAGCTGTTCTTATATACTGTGCGGTATGTGGGTGTTTGCTTTTCTTCGCCAATATATTTTTCATGGATTGACGAAACGGGACAACACGAAGTCATCAAAAATTCACCACGTACAAGAAATGATATTATATACATATATATTTTTGCTTTTTCGACGTAAGATCTATCTATTCGTTTAAATATGAATCAAATCTCATGAAATATTTAAAACATGTTACGGATATTCCAGAAACAATATGAATGAAATATTCCTTATCCTCGTTTCAGTAATGTCTTTCCAACAGGAACTGCGAAATATTACAAAATCAATATTTCTGAAAGGTGTACGAAATACCACTTTGAACTGTAATATTAGGAAAGATATGTAATATACCAGAAATGTATCTGAAAACTAATGTGCTGTGTGGGTATGTTGCTTTAACAGTCACGAGTGCAGTGACCACAGAACTTATGTCTAGCATCAAATCAGTAGTTCCAGTACTACTACAATGTTTGTTTTTACAATTTTTTCAAAAATGACGTTCCTGTTTCAATTTTATTGAATGCAAGGTGCACATACCTGCAGTTAGGAATGGACTCATGGAAACCTTTATGGATTGGTGTCATAGTAAGATCGTGGTCTAAGAATTGCGCCCATTGCATGGTCATCAACGTGTATCTGCTATGTAGGTTGCTGATATCAGGATGTATCACTCGAGAAACCACCCTTGGATTTGGTAGAGGAACACCAGTGACGCCGATCGATCGCGGTTTTGACACTCCTGTAAATAATTGAGATATCATGATCAAGATAACAGTAATTCCTAATTTTTCAGTTGCTAAACTATAATATAAGTTTATGATATCAACACATCCAATCTCACCCGAATCTCCAATCCTTCCATAGTTTCTAAAGCAATATCTCTCATGATAGTATAAAAAGACAAATCTCCAAAGAGACTTCTAATTTTTATAATCCACACGTGAGTCAACTTTGGACTTACATATATATTGGCATCCATTTTTAAAGTATAGGAAGAACTTTTCCATTAATAATTCTACAATTTTACTTGTGAATGCATTTTCCTAGTTCATCCTTTATTCTTACTCGACCGGACTATAAGGCTTTCCCTTTCCCCTCAATATACTAGGTGTAGCTGGCAGCTAATCCAACTCTTTAACCCATGAATATGCCAGAGTTGCTATAGGTCGAAATCAATCATATTTGAATTTAATTGTTTTTAACGGCTCCCGTGATTTTAATACATGGACGGACTTTTTTGGGAGCCTGATTTTTCACTGATTTTTGGGAAAAACTTGATCGTGCTCGATAAAATGTGTCATTGAGATATGAACTGTCCGCAAGTCATTTTCGAGTTTTTGCCAGCCATTTCGAATGCAATATTAAGGTACCTAGGTCGAATATGGCCAGCCTGTAAATATGGCCACATACCGTTTTCCCAAACACGAAAGTTTGTTATGAGCTGAACGCGACCCTAAATTGTCGCTAGTGTCGCATGTATTCGAACGGCCTACCTGTCACCCATCCGTGCAAGCGTTAGCCGCTCAGCCGTCATTATAGTGAAAAGCAGTGTTGAGGTTATAAAAACAGTAAGTAAGTATTGTCCTGTATTTTACCGTTGTTTTCATTATAAATCTTTATTATTCACATTACGATGTTGTGTAATAATTGTAGTTTCATATTTCTTTGTATATTTATCGAAGTAATAGTGTGTTTTTCATTCGTGAATATGAAAACAAAAAATTTGGATGACTGCAAATATGGCCACCGTTTGGCCATATTAACAGTACTTACTGAATTGCTGACACGTTTTTTTGTTTTTTGTTTTAGACCATGGCACGCTATAAATGTAAAGGGCTTCGAAGTAACTGGGCAGATGCTAATATGAAATTAGCTTTAGCTGCAGTCAGAAGTGGCAAAATGAAAATTTATACGGCTTCCAAGCATTATAATGTGCCAAGACGCACTCTGAGACGTTATTTACAAGAAAACAAAGAGACCAAATCTACTTTGGGCCGGAAACCACTTCTTAACCCTGAAGATGAAAAGATTTTGGAATCCCGTATTATTCGTCTGTGTAATGTGGGATATCCATTAACACAGCGTGTACTTCGTAGATGCGTGAAGACATTCTGTGATCAAAATAACATTCCAGCGCCAAGTGGAGGCTTGATGGTGGGACGAGATTGGCTGAGAGGATTTTTAAAACGTCATAGGAATATCAGTAGACGAAAAGCACAGAACCTAAACCCCGCAAGGGCACAAAAGCTGAATAAAGCAGTAGTTTCCGATTATTTTAGTAAATTGAAGAAAATCTTAGTAGAAAATGACCTTATGAACAAACCGGAACGTATCTATAATATTGACGAAAAAGGTTGCCAGCTTAATTTGCACAAATCACCAGAAGTTTTGGCTGAACGTGGATCCAAGAGAGTACATTTGGTAGCACCCGAACACGGCGAGAATGTAAGAATAGTTTCATGTGGCAACGCTTTAGGCCATGTCATTCCGCCCATGATACTCTTTAAGGGCAAATCAATGAAGCCAGAATGGGTAGATTCGTTACCCACCGGTTCAGTAGCCAAAATGACACCCAAAGGGAGTATGAATTCTGAAACATTTGTGAACTGGACACACCATTTTGCAAAATTTAAATTGCCAGGACCTTGTTTACTTATCTTGGATGGAGCGAAGTGCCACTTAGACTATTCGATAGTTGAAGCAGCAGAACAATTCGACATCAAACTTTTCTGTCTCTCGAGCAACACCACACATGAATTGTAGCCCATGGACAAATCAGTATTTCGTTCTTTTGAATATTACTGGGATGAAGAAGTTTTAAAATACTGGTCTATTCACGAGGACAGGAAAATAACCAAACAAAGGTTTGGGATATTATTTTCCAAAGTGTGGGATAAAGCTGCGACACCTGCTAATGTCAAAGCTGGATTTGAAGCGACCGGAATTTTCCCATTCAATCCAGATAGGATTCCAGAAGAAGTATACGCTCCCAGCATACCTACTCATAATTTCGCAGAACCTGGAGCTTCTCCTTCTGAAAATCAAGAAAATGGAGATACTAACGACAGCGACGCTACAAATCTGTTAATTCCTCCTCAGGAAAATGAAGATACTAATGAAAGCGACGTTACTGATGCCAGTGGAAATTCTCCTTATCCTCTCCCAAATGAAGACAAAGGTAATTCAAATCCATCAAATGATTCCTCAGATTCACAGCCAAGCCAAGCAAAGCGTTGTGCTGCAACTCCAGACAACGCCTCTGATGATCATCCACAGCACCCAAATCAAGAAGATATATCGAACTTTATAGAACCCCTGCCAAGTGTTTATGACGATTACGACAGTAGCGATCACATTCCTTTGTCCAAACTAAAGCAACATAACAATAATATCGAGTCAAAAACTGAATTAAATGTAGTCTGCTCCACAACACTTAATGAGTCATATACATCTTTCTGTCAAATGTTAAAAACTCCAGAGAAAACGTCAAGCCCAAAAACTGCTCCGAGAGCAAAAGCTATCAATAGTCTCGCACAGGCGCTAACAAAATCAATGTTTACAGATAAAAATAACATGTCAGGGCCATCAAATGCTCCTAAACAAAAAATATAAAATATACCAGGCCCATTTAAAGTGGCTTACCAAAAAAGAAAATATTCTGCTAAAAGGAGCAACAGTGAAGCAGTAACTCCGAAGAAGGTTTCTAAACAGTCACGTGGTAAAGGACAATCTGAAAAATCTAAAGATTCATGGTACTGTTATGTTTGCAATGAGGACAGAATAGCAGACATGAAAATATGCTTTTTATGTGAAACATATGTCCATGAGGACTGTGTTGGATTAACAAAAGAAGATACAGATAAATTTGTATGCACTCGGTGCAGTCTGGACTAACCACGACGATGATAATGTACTGGATGTCGCCTAAACAATATCTTTTAAATAAAGTTGTATTAAAATCTAATGTCCATTTTTATTTCACTTATTTAGAAGTTATTTAAAATAATATATACCGTAAATATGGCCACATATATGGGCATATTTACCTACCCCGTCGGAAATATGGCCAAATTTCAATTTTTTTTCAAACTTTTGAAAATATTTCTATCATTTAATATCTTTGTATTTTTCTGCCTTCATCATAAAGTTAAATATTCAGTCTTCATGGACAAATACTTTGACTTGTTTCTTTTATCTTTATTATTTTAGAAAAAAGTTAAGAAACCTTAAGGTGGCCATATTCGACCTAGGTACCTTATTATTCTAAAACCATTCTGGAGTATATGAATGTACAATGTACCCCAGGGAGATTCTGCTCTACAAAAAGGATGACAGATGGTAAGTTCGGATGTGATAAGATGAAATGTGAAGGAATGCAACGTTAAGGACGTGGCTACTTGATGTCTTTAAAAGTCTTCATTATGTGCTATTGCAACGGAGACTAACGAGGGAACACGTATACATGTGACACGCATGCATTATGCCTGCGTAATTCCTCCTTTACACGTCGACAAGTGTGACAGCAGATGTCATCTGCGGATGCGTCCGCCGACGTGTAGAAGGCGGATTTTTCTCGTCTGTGAGGGGAGGGGGGGTTTACTTATAGTCTAATCATAATAGCAAATTTCCCCGAAATAATTGTAAAGTGGGGTTTTTTGATGCAAGCTGTTCAAGGGGGTATTTAAAACATGGACGCATAGAATGGGTACACCAACTTCTGTGGGAACACTTTTTATTCGACAACAAAGAATGAGAAAACGTGTTTTTTGGGATTTAATTGAAAGTGTTGGCAGGAACGAAAAACTCTTTAAATAAGATTTTTAGGTATTTATGAGACCTAAAAATGAGGCCACACGTGAAAAGATCTGACTTGTTGCTAATGCGACGATAATCCCACGCAACTACTTGAAATTGTTTAAATCCATAGGCTTCATACTTCTAAATAACCACAATAAAATTGGAGTCGATTGGTCGAGCAGTTTTTGAAAATATCTAATTGCTTATCCCAAAACACCTGTCTTCCGGCCATCACTACTAGTTTACCGAGCAATATACAGGGTTCGTTCAAAGGGCATTTTATAGCAAAATACACGAATTTACGTTGCTGACGTGAATCATAAACCATTCCGAAAAATAATTGTTATTTTTATGCGAAAAGCGAAGGGTTGCGTCTTTTTTTTCTAAACAAACTGAAACATTTCTTATATGTGAGTAACTGAACAGATTCGCTACGATATTCGAAAAACATACGTTATTATACACATTTTAAAACAAAGAAGATGCGTTCATCACCTTTTGTTACGAAGAAAATAATTGTTTTTCAAGTTTTTTTCATACTGTTGTGGATACCTATTTAGAGCTGAAATTTTTTCATCATCATAGATGAGTCCTAAAGTTTATAAAAAAAAATTTTCCATACTGAAATGCGCCCAACTGTTAATAAGCTTAGCACGCAAACTGATGACATAATTATGTTTCAAACTGACTTAGACTAGTTAGTATGTAGCATGTGCTAAATGGTTGCATTATTGATGACTGCATGCCGTTGTCAAATATGTAGGTCACGTAATCCAGTTTCTTTACGAAGAAATATAATTCCCTAGACTATTTGTCTTAAAAGTATTAATATGGTATACGGCTGCGAGTTGAAAATGTTGGAAAATAAACTTGAAGAAACCAAAAAACAGTAGAGAAATATCAACCAATTGTAGCGAACTGACCGTCTTAAAAAATAGGCAA